GGTGTTAAAGCAGACCCTAATAACACCACAAGTAACACCGGCTTTACTACTTTCCCTCGGGATAATTTTGACCGTATTGAAACAAAGGAAAATGAAGAAGAAGAAGAAGAAGAAGAAGAAGAAGAAGAAGAAGAAGAAGAAGAAGAAGAAGAAAAAAAAAGAAGAAAAAGAAAAGAAGAAGAAAAAAGAAAAAAGAAGAAAAGAAAAGAAAGAAGAAGACAGATGAAGACAAAAAGAACAAAAGAAAAAAAATAATAATAATATAAAGAAGAAGACACAAAACACAATGTGGACAGCCTTCACATTCCTCGCTGATAACAACAGCTCTTAACATTAAATTATGAAGGAGAAAAAAAAAGATTAGTTAAAATAAAAGATTGACAAGTTTACCGTGTGTGTCTAATACGAGGGAGACAAATATTGTGTTTATGTTTATATGATCTGTGTTTTTTTTCTTGTTTTATGACCGTGTTTGCTGAGTTCTTCTTCTTCCTCTTCTTCTTCTTCTTTTTCTTCTTCTTCTTCTTCTTCTTCTTCTTCTTCTTCTCCTTCTCCTTCTCCTTCTCCTTCTCCTCCTCCTTCCTTCCTTCCTTCCTTCCTCCTCCTCCTCCTCCTCCTTCTTCTTCTTCTTCTTCTTCTTCTTTCCCACATGTTCAAGAGAGGTTAATTTCACCATTTAATTCCAATACACCCAACCCCAATCGCTCATATATCCATCCAACCCATTCGAGTTAATGATGATACCTCATTATACCTCAATAGTAACGTAAATATATGAACTGTATATCTGTCGATCACGAGTGTATGATGCGTGACCGACACACCTGTAGTGATCGCTGATATGTACCTGTAATATCAACACCTGGCTAAGTTGCAGGTAAGGAGTCAGTGTTTCTTCCTTAGTAAATGTCAGTGGACCTTGATTTGGGTGATCGGGCGTGGGTGGAGGGGGCTGGGAGGGGTAGGGGAGGGGGAGATGTTGAGGGTGAGGGGGAAGGAAGGTGGGGTGGAGGGAGGGGGGAGGGTAAGAGGATGAGAGGAAAGGATGGGGGTAGAGAGAGGGTAGGGTGGAAGGAGGGAGGGGGGAGAGAGGGGAGGGGGTGGTACACCCTCACAGTCCAGTCACGTTGCTGACCACCTTACCTGCTGACTCTCCCGTTACCTCCTGCTGACACTCCCACCACCTGCTGACACTCCCTTACCTACTGATATTCTCTTACCTGCTGACACTCCTCACCCCTGCTGACCCTTCACACGTGTCTTGGACTAATCCCGTATTATCACCCCTTTCCCCCTCCCCTCCCCTTCCTCCCTTCCCTCCCCCCTAAACCTTCTCTGAGGAGGGTATGTGCGTTCCCCTTGATCCACCTCACACAATAATAAGAGATAATTAGACACAGGTGATAAAACACACAGGTAAATAATATAACCCTTCTTCCTAAAACACCTTAAGAAAAAGTTACATTCATATCGCTTATATTTTTTTATATCTAATTCTCTCTCTGGTAAAGCAAGAACTTATACCGTACGTGAAGGTAAACAAACAAAACAAACAAACACACGGACAGCAACTCATATCAGGTAAATCCAATTATCGTCCAGGTATTTAGTCAATTCTCCTCTTGACTACCTGTCCCTTCTGCGGTAGAGGCGAAAGTTGTCCCCACAAGGTCACTGTAGGGATGGTAGCTTTAGTGGTCAGCTCCTGGGAACACTACACCCATCTTTATTAACGTCATTATTCAGTGGACCGTGTGTGTGTGTGTGTGTGTGTGTAAAGCTCTGAAAGTAAACATGTACAATAATTTAACTTTGGTTGAGGACATCTCCCTAAAGTTAAAATATTTGTGTACATGTTAAAGGTTTTAAAGTTAACATGAGATTGATTTTTGCACACACACACACACACACACACACACACACACACACACACACACACACACACACACACACACACCACAATCTAAACACATTATCGTGCCAAGTTTAAACCTCTGACATGACTCCTTATATGAACACAGATTACAGTAAAGATAAATAATGTTTGCTGTCCAAAAATACCTTTACAAATATCATCCTTTATAGCTTTAATAGTGAAGACATTGAGCTGTAAGTTATCGGTAATTTAACTTGTCACAAATCATCAGAACTATTAATGTTCGATGTTATTTTAATAGTGTGTATTAAATTGACTCCTCAAGGACGAATTTATCTTGTGGTGAAAGTTTCAACACTATCTTAGAGACGATAAAAACCCACAACAGCTTGTCATAACGCGTGTAACTAGCCACTGCGTGTTAGTTGCGTCACACCATAAATCAAGGAATTTTGCTGGAATCGGCTGGGCACATCTTCCAAGCAATGCCTTTAGGTGGCTGGTTGGTTCTGTTAAATAATAAAAGTAGTAAACATTTCTACTGGTTCCTGCTTCGCCTTCTGCAGTACTCAGGTTGGGTCTAGGAGGAACGTGCGAGAAAAAATAAAATACAAATCTTTCGTTCCCGACGGCGTGTGTGTGGCGACTCCTCGGTAAAGGTGATAAGGTGGCAGGTGAGGGACTTCTCTGCCCCGCGGCTGATCCTCTTACCCAACAGTTTCAGGTGGTCAAGGAAGACCACAACCCGGGAGACTCCACGTCCCCTCCTGCTGCTGTAGCTGAAGGTCATCTTGGTTGGTAATTACAGCATTATGTACCTAAAGATTATTGGTAGCTTACGTTAGGATCACCCAGGGTCAGCCTCATACCCCTTCCTGCTCTCTGGCTGTGTAGGGGCGGCCGTAAACGTGCTTGAACGTGACCGGAGGCAAAGGTGGGCGGACAACTAATGAGCACAAATCATTCCTATAGTCGTGCCGGAGTTATCATCAGTAATACGTCTCTATCTACTTCCTCTAATACAAGCTGCAAAAGCGTGATCAATTATTGCATCTGCCTCCTGTAGCACCGAGGGAGGCGTTGATGTACAGGGAGGAGGATTAAGGTACTCAGATCCGGCGGTAGGTGGCGGTGGTGGTGATGGTGGTGATGATGGTGGTGGTGGTGGTGGTGTTGGTGCTGGTGGTGGTGGGTGGTGTTGGTGCTGGTGGTGGTGATGGCGGTGGTGGTGTGGATAGTGGTGATGATTGTGGTGGTGGTGATGGTGGTGGTGGTGGGTGATGGTGGTAGTGGTGGTGGTGATAAGGTAGTGGTGGTGGTGATGATGGGGTGATGATGGTGGTGATGGTGGTGGTGTTGGTGCTGGTGGGGGTGATGGCGGTGGTGGTAGATGGCGGTGGTGGTGTTGATGGTGGTGATGATTGGGGTGATGGTGGTGGTGGTGGTGTTGGTGCTGGTGGTGGTGCTGGTGGTGGTGCTGGTGGTGGTGGGATGGCGGTGGTGGTGTTGATGGTGGTGGTGGTGGTGATGGTAGTGGTGGTAAGATGGTGGTGGTGGTGGTGATGATGGCGGTGGTGGTGTTGATGGTGGTGGATGATGGTGGTGGTGGTGATGATGGTATGATGATGGTGGTGGTGGTGGTGGTGGTGATAACCGGTGTGAGGGTAAGGGGGGGGGGTAGGTAGCTGCAGTTACAGAGATAGTATTCAGTGGTAGTGATTGGAGTACTCGATGTAGTAGTACTATTGTTGAAGCCGTGAAAGTATTAGTAATGTTTTTACCTACAGTCGTGGTTGTAGTGGCAAATATATCACTTTAGGTGTAGAGATAATAATGATGGGAATAGTTAATGACGAATTAGAGAGTTTAACAAGAGAAGGAAAACTTGTAACACAGAAAGATCTTCAAAGTAACACATGACAATCTTATAGTAGGAAGTCATGTCACGATGACTGGGTGGAGGTATAGTAGAACAATAGAAGCTTATGGAGACAGGTATCGGGGCAGGTCGGAGAGGAGGGGGGCGGTTGGTGGAAGACCTGGTTTATCCTGGCGGAGGTGAAGGTGAGCTGGTGGAGGAGCTTGGCCTGGGTTGATCTGCCTCGCCTGCCCGGATACTACACACCAGTCCTGTCCAACCCGTTCTTCTTCTTCTTCTTTCTTCTTCTTTCTTTCTTCTTTCTTCTTCTTTCTTTCTTCTTTTTTATAGAATTTTCAGATATTAAGGACGGTTTCCTAATCACATTCCGTAGACCTGAGTAAATGTTGTCATCCAGTAGATTTCAACACGATAACATAATTACCATATTTTAACCCGACCAAACTAACATAACCTTTGCTAAATAACCTTGAGTTTTGTCACTTGAGTAGAAGACACACAACACAACTACTTTCCCTGTTAAATAAACAAGTTGAGAGTCTTCCTTGAATACCTAACACTCACTCATTCGTAATCAAGGTAAAGATGACGACTTTATCCTGATTAACACACGTAGCTAATGCTTCGATAAATATCAAGAGGAGGGGGAGGGGAATCGTGATAGCCTGGGTGATGGAGTGGTTTTTATAAAGGTCTGTTAAGTGTGTGTGTGTGTGTGTGTGTGTGTGTGTGTGTGTCGGAGGTGTGGTTTTAGAGATGATGTTAGGTAGCGGAGCCTGAGTCACGACCCACCTACGTCACTCACCCACCCTAACCCACCCTCACCCACCCTAACCCACCCACTCTACCTCACCACTCTCGCTTTTTACCCCCCACCTAACTGTACAGTACACTGGACAATCATCTTCTAGGACACCTGTGCCTGACTCAGAGTATGAAAATGGAAAAGACAATGTACAACAGAGCCACACAGAATCTTACCTTACCTTACCTTACCTTACCTTACCTTACCTTACCTTACCTTACCTTACCTTACCTTACCTTACCTACATCTCGTATTGACTACCGTGCAAACTATATGAGTCGAACATTATGTAAACAATAAACACCAACATTGTCTATACATTCTTAAAAACAATTATTTAAGTCATATAAAATTAATGTCTGTTAAAGTATTTCTTATGTGTTCACTTAGTTATGATTATTTCTTTCACCAATAATTAATATTTCTTCTCCTTCCCCCAGCAGGAGTGGAAAGCCCCTCACCGTCACCTGCGGAAGTTGCGCCTGAATCCTTACTGCAGGAGCCACGTCAGGGTCATCCAATCACCTTCTCGGACGATGACCTCCCGACAGATGACTCCAACCCTGACACGTTGGTGATCCACAAGTGCTGCCCTGAAAGCAAAGTGTTCGATCACGCCACCAACACGTGTCAGCCCAGCCAAGACCTTACCTTCAGTGTACCAATATTCACCGTCGATTATTACGGCATGTATATGGAGTCGAACCTCACACGGGACCAGGTTAGTGTGTGTGTGTGTGTGTGTGTGTGTGTGCATGTCTCTTAATCCTTCTATTATTTATCGAGAAGTACATTAATTCTTTTCCCAAATTTCTGTTACATATGTGTAGATAAAGACAATTTATTTGACAGTGTTAGACAGAACCGTTTCGTCACCTTCAGTATTTTTAGTCTATATACCAAAACGTCTTCCAGAGAACAATGTCAATCTACCAAACATTTCTATTCTTTATAATAACTTCATCATCCTCCTCATAATCCGTCTGATACGATGAAAAAAATTCTTGAAATTGCTTAAATTCGTCACACCAGCACGAACGATGATCTGTGGTGGTCGGCGAGTGTTAGCCTCCAAGCTGTGTCTGAGAGCTCTATGAATGTCTCTCCTGCCTGCCTGGTTGACTCAGAGAAATTTGGCTTTAGGGAAATTTTCTGGTGTGATGTTGCCGGGCGTATGATTATTTCAACAACAATAACATTAACAGCTTTAAATACAAAATGTTATATTCGTAGATAAACAAACACATTTTCTTAGACCTGTACGTTATGTTGGACGTCAACTGATAGCAACTCGTCATGAAGTAAACACCACGTCCTTCCACTTCTCCCGGTCCCAGCCACTCACGGTAGACTACAACATGACGCACACACACACACTACTGTCTGTTGGTTAATGACGCCTCCAACATTAACCAAATTTCTCCCTTTTTTATCGTTTATTGGATGTAATCGACAATTTTAACCACAAGATAAATTTTGAATAAGAGAAAAACTTAAATTTACGAACCTTTATCCTATGATTCAAGTTTCTGTAGAGGGACAAATTTCATATCATAATTGTCTTAATGTTTGTGGTGTGTCGCTAAGTACTTTTTATTTTTACTACTTATAATCATTAGTACATTTTTTTATTCAGTTTACAGACTTTTTAAACCCATAAAGAAGACTTAAAAAAAATCTATCTGGATATAATGAACCAAACTGATTATTGACGCCAAGGAACATGATTGACGATGGGATAAAACGGAGATGAAGATGAAGTAGAAATACCCCATCTTCCCCACAACCAATGTTTTACGTGTCATGTCTCTCAGATATGTTGAGAGGAGTTGGTGTAGTGAGGATGACGTTGTTGTTTACCGTGATAACTTTCCATTGTACACGTTCACTAGACCGTAGAGATCTTGGGATTCTTGAGTTATATAAAATTGTCACCGTCTTGTATTACAGATAAAAGCAATTCTTACAACACGTCTTTATAGGTTTGGACTCAGATTGGTATTTTTTGTGTTTCATTGGAATTTCTATCTTCTACAATGATTCATGACTGTACATACTATACAATTGGTTCTGTAAGATTCGAACCCACGTCTCTCAGATGGGGAAAAGACGACGACTCCCTTACTTGTCATCTGAGTGGTGTTGGTTGTGGAGGTGTTTGTGCATTTCACTCACGGTGTTGTGGGCTTCTGGGTGAATTCATTATTGTTGATTTACTGGATTTCACTCAAGTTTTAAAAGAATTCTTAGTCACATACAAGAGATGGACAAGTTCTATAAAATACGTTTTTAATTATAAATTTTCTTATTAAAGTTGGAGTTTAAAAAATTATGCCAGGAAAACAGATTTTTTTTAGGGGTTAAAGAAAACGGTGACATGAGACAGTCTCCAGCGATGACTACGTTAATTTACAGTAACACCGACTCTTGTTGGATATTCGCTCTTGTTTATGGACAGGATTTTCTTGGATGATTTTCCAATTTATTATACAAAGGAAAATCATATAAACCAGGTGTGTACGGCAGGTATGATCAGTGTAATAAACATAGTGTGTACGGCAGGTATGATTAATGTAATAAACCAGGTGTGTAAGGGCAGGTATGATCAGTGTTATAAACCAGGTGTGTAGGGCAGGTGTGATCAGTGTAATAAACCAGGTGTGTAGGGCAGGTGTGATCAGTGTAATAAACCAGGTGTTAGGGCAGGTATGATCAGTGTTATAAACCAGGTGTGTAAGGGCAGGTGTGATCAGTGTAATAAACCAGGTGTGTAGGGCAGGTATGATTAGTGTACTTCCATATACCGCAGGCCATCCACGCTGTTGGTAAGGTCACTGTAGCCTTCATTCACCTCAGTTTCCTGGTAGAGTCCATCGGTACACACTTAGCTTTTGGATTAGTGACATACACTCAGCGGCGAGGAACTGGCTGCTTCCGCTCGTTTTTATTTAATATATACAGGAAATATTTCTGATCTGTTTTTTTTTCTTCACTCTTGTAAGAACAGCAAACTCAAGAACGTCAACACACACACACACACACACACACACACACACACACACACACACACACACACACACACATTCTCCCTTCATTTGCTGTCACTCATTCATTTTATCCCCTGTAAGAGACCTATTGAATTAAGTACTGAATGTATTTACAAATTCTACGTGTAAATATCAAAATATCGTCCCAATTAAACTGAACTGCATTAATCTGTCTTCTTATCATCGTCAGGGAATTTACCATAATATTTTACCTAGAAAAATTTTTCATGAAGTTTATAAAGACTGAAGGTAAGAGGTGTACCCACAGGTGAAGCTACAGACGGAGATGCTGGGGTGTGAACGTTACCTTCTGGACGTCATACCTGATAAAAAACCCGAGTTCGACTTCCGGGTACTGGACACGGGTCAGCTGTGGGTGCCGGAGTACGAGAAGTATTACGATCCTTCAAACTACTGCTTGGAGAACTTTGTGGCCAACGCCAGCGTGAAGGGCTCCTCACACATCCAGGGCGCCATGGTGTGTGTCCTGGAAACTGAGGTGGAGACTTTCGATCCTACCAAGATCCCTGTCAGGAAATGTTGTATGCATAACGAGGTTGGTTGAGGCATTGTGGTATTATAGAGAACACACACACACACACACACACACACACACACACTCACACAAAACAGTCCATGTGGAGTGGTATCAAGGATAATTTTCTTTATTGCCTTTGTATCTGTTGTACCGAATGTTTTTCCAAGAAGGAGAGGTTAGCACATATAGGGTCAGGTATTAGTACAGTCCTCAGGAAGGTAGAAGTAAACATTGGTCATTTTCTCTCCGCACATTTCTATTAATTTACAATTGAATATATCTAACCTAACCTAACCTAACTTGGTACAGTTCAAATAAGCGTTGAAGGTTCATAAGGCTCCGTGTTTACTTCCCCTATAAGGTCTTATTTCCGTGGCTGGAGGGAAGGAATGTAAATATAATCTTTCTTTTATCTCTCTGGTTGTCATGACTCGTTAGTCCTGTGTTAGCATGAGACTTTACGTGTACCAGGAAGACTCAATTGCACATGTGACTCTGTGTGTAATAATTATATCAGCGTGTATCATGACATTACCTCTCCCCTTCCATGTCAGGCTGTAGGAACACTTGTGAATCCAGTCCCAGCACCGCCTCTCTCTGTTCACTGAAGAGGATCAGAGTTCTTCATCCACCACTTTGGCTCAGCCGTGCAAGGGCATAGGTCCATGTCCACAAGCTGGGTTGGAGGGCGGGCGTCAGAGGAGCAGGAAGTCGGAGGGCAGGGGGAGGGGTTAGATGGGGGTATGAAGGGGGAAGGGTGAGGGAGTAAATTGTAAACTGCCCCCCTCCCCACATGTCATCCCTTAAGACAACACACATGTATCCAATGCCACACAAAATCAGAACAGCTCCTCCTGCCTCCAGTAAACAGTAGTGGCTAAGTCCTTGGAGCAGCAGTGTGTTGTCCTCCATCAGGAGATGTTAGTCATATGAAGTAATAATTGATGTCCCTTTATGACAACACCAGAACAACTATCCACCTGTCTATTAACATATTCTTCTTCCATGACAGGTGTACGACACGACGATCAGTTGTACACTACGTGCTAATGTGACGGACGCACCCTGGCTTGTGCCCTTCAAGTCGGCGCAGGTGCCCTCTGCTGACGTCCACCTGGTCGACGTCCGCCAGCCGCCTTACTCCCAGACTCACGAGCTGGTGCCCAACTTCCAGGTGAGTATAGGGGCGGCGGAGGGTGTGGTGCTAATAATTGTGTCTACCTGAGAGCAGCAGAGGTAGGTGGGTGAACTTAATGAACATCTTGTAGTCGTCAGCCACCTCAGTACTTCAGTGATCCGGTAAACTGTCCGCTAGAAGTACACTTGTGTCCCAGTGAACGAGTTTAATAATTTCTGTACTCATTAACACGTCACAGCTTCGGCCATGGTCTAGTTTAGATTGAAATGTCTGCTTACTGAATATGGAACAAAATTATAATGTTAAGATAATTATAATGTTAGAATTATACTATGCTGCACCTAACCTAACCTACCCTAACCTAACCTAAAATATTTAGAAAGTAAACTTGAACTCAGTAGTCTTCAGGAGAATTCAATAAGGAGAAAAAAAGAGAAAATATTTCGTTTCTCAGAAGTTGTAAAAAAATCAATTAGAGTGAACACAACTTTGGTTTTGTAAATTGCACGAGTTTAAATAAGAAAGAATTAAGAATTTTGTCAACTGACCAACAAATTTTAAAGGTACTCGAGTTTGTCATCTTAACTGAGCATGTAAGAACATATTTAACTGCCTTACTTAACCTCAAACAAAACAATTAACCTAACCTAACACTAGGACTCTCACCTTAATTAGAGACGTACAGTAATTAATATTTATGAGGATAATTAGCATCCATAATCATTGTGGATCTGAGCCATGAGTCTTCCTATCCCTGTGCCTGGCAGACGTGTGTGGGTGACCAGATGGGGTGGCAGGTAGACGCCTTCCACCTGGAGGAGGAGACAGGTGGACTCTTCGTGCCCCACCTTGACCGCGTCATACCTGAGAACCAGTACTGTATTGAGGACTTCCACACCAACGGGACCCTCGTGCCCATGGTGAGTGTAGTGGGCAGGGGGGGTAGTGGGGGTAGTAAGTGAATGGTGAGAGAGAGAGAGAGGAGAGAGAGAGTGAGAGAGAGAGAGGTGAAGGAGAGAGAGAGGTGAGAGGAGAGGGAGAGTGAGAGAGAGAGGTGAAAGAGAGAGAGAGGTGAAAGAGAGAGAGGTGAGAGAGAGAGAGAGAGAGAGAGAGAGAGAGAGAGAGAGAGAGAGAGAGAGAGAGAGTTCAGATTCCCAAACCACTAAATGTTACCACAGTTGATCAAGACATCGTTGAACCACACCCCCGCGTTATCTTCCTCCTCCAGGCATACGTGTGCGTCAGTGTGGCGGAGAAGCAGCATCTACAGCTCCTCCAGACCCCCGGCTGCCAGACTGAGTCCTGTGTACCCAAGTGCTGTCAGCTCGGGGAGATCATTGACGCCGCCTCCAGCAATTGTGTGTCAGCCAGGGAGTTCGTCTTTACTCCCTCCGTCTGGCACGAGAACAACACCCACTCCATGGTGAGCCCCCACTTAAGGTCAGAGGTCGATGTGGGTAGGTCAGGGGGGGGGTTTAAGCATGGGTCAGGGGTGGACATGGGTCAGGGGTGGGAAGAGATCAAGTTGGCAATAAAGGTCAGGAATGCTACAAAAAACGACCTCCTTTCCATTTACCTGACCTTGATTTCCTTTCCTCAGTATCTATCATATATTAAAGACTGCTGAACACTATGACTGTTCCTTCGTCCCTCTGTAACAGCTGGCTGGGGCGGACTACGGGTACGGCTTCCCTGAGTGTGAGGTGCAGCTGACGTATCCTCAGGAGCGTGTCCAGCTGCTAGAGCGAGGTTCACTCCGCTACGTCAGCAACAACACAGACGAATGCGAACCAGAGCAAGTCTTCACGATACCCCGGGGAGAATTCTGCATAGACCAGGTACTGTAGGAGGTAGTCTTGTAACCTAATTATACCCAGGTACTCCAGGTAACATTCGTGTAGCTTTGTGTGTCTGTATTTGTCAGTTATTGTAAGGATATGTTGTATATTATTAACGTCATTATCACCAACATACTGTATTCATTATCAAACTCAAAATTACGATTTAAGGAAAGATTAACCTAAATTTTCTCATACACGGCGGGGTAATATTACTATAACCTTCCCTGGCAGGTGTTGTATTCCACGGGTGAGGTGAAACAGGGAGCCGGGTTCTGCTTCAGTGAAAAATGGGATCACCTGGGCAAGATGGAGAAGCAGCAGGTTAATTATATCTACTCAGCGTTCCTAGCCATCTCCGATCTCTTCATCTTAGTGTCGTTCATCGTCTACCTCACCGTTCCTGACCAAAACAAAAGAGGACTTAATAAAAATGTGAGTCCAGCTTAAAATAAATAGAAATGTTTCCTCTATTCGTTACTGTTGATAATAATTCACCATGTTATTATACCTGTACAATGGTCTAATTTATCCCAGGTTAAGTTGGCTCACTCTGTGCTGGGACGTATTCTCCTCTGTTTCCTGTTTAGTTTGTTCTTCGCTTACCTGTTCCTTATCATCATCAAGCTCTTCTCTGATCCCATCAACCTGGCCTGTCCTAGTGCCTGTATAGGTGTGGGTAAGTAACATCTATCTTATTAACATCTTAAGGTATAGTGAAGATTAAATACACGGTTGTACAGTACATTATAGCCTATTTTTGAAAGATTTTAACCCCTCCCCCCCCTTCCTTTGAGTACATGTTATCACCTTTAGTACAAGTTTAATCCCCGCGTAAAAGAACTTTTTTCCTCAATAAGGTAAACTTAAACCCATGATTACGATAACTATCAATAAAAAAAATAATAATAAATCAAATCCCAAGATGCTCTACCATCACAGATTCTTAAAGATGCTGTGTTATCTTTGTTATCTCCCCTACAGGTGTGTGTATGTATATGTTCTTCATGGCAACCTTCTTCTGGCTCAACGTCCTCTGCTTTGAGCTATGGTGGAAGTGCGCCAGGTAAGTTATTGGTGATGTTACCTTAATACAATATGACATTACCTGAGACTCTTGCTGGATGGTGTCTCTCTTTCGCCGCAGTGACTATGTGAATCTTCTAAGTTTTATGATGATTTAAAGTTTGAATGTGTGTGTGTGTGTGTGTGTGTGTGGAGTGTAGATAGTCATATAATCATGGTATATTAACACGGTGTTCATCAGGCAGGAGAGCTCTAGTGGGCGACGCTGGGTGTGGTACCAAGTGTATGCTTGGGTCTCTCCTATGGTGTTCGGGGCCGTCTCCCTCATGATGGAGTTTACCCCTTCCATCAGTAACTGCTACATCAAGCCCAAGTTTGGTACTTACTCCTGCTTCTTCAGCTGTAAGTCACTGTTTATGGTCTCTGTGTACTTTTGTTTTGCTTTATCATATTTCCTCTTTTCTTTATACGTTAATATATTCAATACTAATTCCTTTTTTTTAACATTGTGTTGTGTACATGTTGCTATTAGATCAACGTACGTGTTTATATAGTTTATTTGAAGTTGGAATTATTTCTGGTTTATATTGAGATAATTTATTTTTATATGATTGTTTCTTCATTTATATTCAGTCAGTAATGCATATGATATGTGCTTTATGCAACCCCCCCACCTCTCTCTCTCTCTCTCTCTCTCTCTCTCTCTCTCTCTCTCTCTCTCTCTCTCTCTCTCTCTCTACACACACACACATTAACACTTCATCTGACTCCACCACATACTGAGGCCTGATCCTCCTCCAGATACCGTCACCCACAACAACGGGGCTAAGTGGGCCTACTTCTTCGGGCCGGTGGCGGTGTTGCTGATGGCCGACCTGTTGTTCTTCATCCTGACGGTACGCTCCCTCCTGGTCACCGTCCAGCAGAGTCACAAGGGCACCGTCCAGAAACAGACTAGGCAGCGGCTCAGACTCTGTTTCAAGGTAACTTTTTCACTATTTCAAGGACGTGTTTATGTTTGTGTTCATGCATCCACGAGTGTATAAATGAATGCGTATGTAGGTTAGGTTAGGTGTGGTTAGGTTAGGTCAGGTGTGGTTTTAATTTGATTTTTATTTTTCATTTTTCACCAAATATGATGTTAGCAAAATACAGAACCGAAAGAGACTTATTACAGAACCCATTGAAGAGAAAAAAACTAAATAAATAATTATCTTTTGTTTGGTGACTGATATCTTGTTGACGACACTGATACACAGTCGTGGTGGTCGTCTTACTAACGTGTTGTTGTTGTTGCCTCTCAGCTGTTCCTAGTGATGGGGATCAGCTGGTTGGCGGAGATCATATCCTTCCAGCTGGGACCCAGTACTGTTTGGTACATCTCTGACGTCTTCAACTGCTTCCAGGTAACTTCTTCAATATGTTAAAATGTTCAGCCCCATTTATTCGTCTTTTTCTTAATCACATCACCTAATGTATTGTGATATCTTCCTTCTTCCGTGTTATTGATAAACTCTCTCTTACATTTTATAAGTTAACATGTCTCACAAGGTTAAAATCAACACGACATATTACATTACGGAACTTTCCAGTAAATACAGTCAGACGAAAAGTGTCATACCTACAGTCACTTAAGGTTAAAGTTTGTTATGGAAGACCAAGACTCACACTGGGTCTCTTTCAGGGCTTCATCATCTTCCTCATCTTTATCCTGAAACCCAAGATCCTGGAAGCTGTGAGGGCGCGGCTGTGCGGCTGCTGCGGCTCGCCCCCACCAGCCAAGCCCCGCGGTACGAACGCCTTCAGCTCTGTCGTTCTCTCCAACTCTGCCAGCACCGACGAGTTCTCGCTCTCTAATCAGCAGCTCTCCTTTGCTCACATCCACGCCCACAACCGCCTCTCACTCTCTCACTCACAGAACCAACTCCCTCTCCCTCTCCCTCCGTCCAGAGTACATAAACAGCTCTCACTCTCCTACAGTCGGTCTTCTCAGCCACACCCCGGCCTGGAGAACCAGTCCTCCAATTCCTTTGCTAAACAGCTACGGCCCCAAGTTGAGCCCGGGCCGCCTCCCACCTCCGCCACGTCCTCCCCGGCCTCGTCCCGGCCCTCAACCCCCCGAACCAACTCCACCCGCGCCTCTCTCTCCGCCAGCTGCAAGTCTGTTGACGAAGCTGCTTGTTGACATTGTGATCGTGTGTGACCGTCCTGTATTGCTGCCTATTAACGTCTGCTTCTGTGCATGTTAATTAAAAGCTGGAGTGTCCTCAGAGTAGTTCTGGTCTGTTCTTGTAGTTATATCATTATTATATCAGACTTGTTGTTCTATATTTATAGTATATATATATATATATATATATATATATATATATATATATATATATATATATATATATATATATATATATATATATATATATATATATATATATATATATATATATATATATATATATATATATATATATATATTAGCAATAAATGCATATAACTAATCCTGTGATAGATGTACAGATAACCGAATTAAGCAGATAATTCAACAATAAAACACACATATGTACACAGAATTGTATTCATGTTTTATCAAAACACTCTACAGATTTTTCACCTCAGATCTTAGCCTTAGTACCAAATAAATGGATAAATAAACTATAACTTGCCACGAGATCTATGTATATATACTGAATGTGTTGAGGGATCGACCCCGGGGTCTTCACGTCATCAGGCCAGTGGTCACGGCGCCTGGACCACGGCACAAGACCACCACTAAAGCCTGAGTTACACGGCTCAGTCTTAATTAACGACCCCGCCTGAAAAGGACGACGACTTTAAAACCTGGCCACGACGCTGAGTTAGGCTACGACTCGAGTATATTTTTTATGTTTACAGTTATACACAACGGACTAAACCAGACCTCGGGAAGGAAAGTTACATTGATAGTTAGTTATGAAGATTACTTCCATATTTCACAGAGTGTAGTGAACCCCAGATGGCCCGCACCAGCCCGTTGGAGCTGTGATCACAGGACACACACACACACACACACACACACACACACACACACACACACACACACACACACACACACGCAGCAAGCTAGATGAGCAAAACTTATAATATGATCTCGTGTGTGTGTGTGTGTGTGTGTGTGTGTGTTACTGACTTGTATATTGTTACGCTCTCGTTGAGTGAGTAACCTGGCCACGTCCTGTGATGATGTTTGTTAACTCAGCCGTTGATTGTGGATAATAATGTTAATTGTTTCTTTACGTGTTTTATGTGTATATGTTTGTGGGTTTAACTCCTCGTATCTTTCACTGAGCTATAATTCTTGTGTAGCCCATTGTTTGCGTTTCACTAGACGATATGATACGGATGACTCGGTGTTAGGTCATGTTACATACTTACCAATAGTCTTCAAAGATCTCTCTCTACTTCCCTCAGACTATATTCATGTTCTTCATCTTAATGTACTCGTCAATAACACAGGAGTAGTACATCTTACACTTTGTTTTAAGGTGACGTATTCGATAGCCATAATCGAACCCCCTCCCCACACACTCTCCATTTAGGAACAGAGAGCTTCATCCCGATCCGCCACACTGCTCCCATGGGTAAGGCTTGTAGCTACACACACACGCGAAAAAGAAACTATCACACTAATCCATATGTATATAAGATGAATTACATATAAAAGCTACAAGTAACATTTAGATTTTGTCTAAGGAGCTGTAACAACACCACACGTGAAGATCAATAAGACCCACAGTATTAGCTTTATATAATTACACTTGGAGATCCTGCTGCCTTAAACTAGATTCACTCAACACCAATTAATAACGTCTCTTTAACTGGTTCCTACGTAATTAATCGACGTAATATTGACGAAATTTATGGATGTAATCTTTATATTTGGCTTAAATCTACCAGTTAATTGCATTTCTTTGTTTTGTTTTTTAACTAAGGAGGGATGTTCTCCGTATAAAGTTTGTGAGTATCAGGATTCATCTCGTGAGGACTGTAAATAAACAACTTATGCTTCAAGGGATATATTATGATATTTTGTAATTAGTGCACATAATGTATATAGTTAGGTATAAGCGCCATGATGGAATGTTTGGATGTGGAGGAGTGAATTTATACTCCACGTTTTATGAGTTGTAGGAAATACATAGGAATAATGTTAGTTAATACAGTATGATGGTGTGTGATGTCTTGAGTAGCTGGATGTATATGGTGTATACACTAAGATATGTATAATGGTTATAGGTGGAGTTGGATATTTATACAGAACACACACACAAACACACACACACACACACACACACACACACACACACACACACACACACACACACACACATAAAATATACTTTAAATTATACCCATACTGAAAATAGACAAATGAATGGACTCTAACTATAATAAATATATACATAGCTCATAATACTATACTGATACATATACCAAGATTATACATTATATATATACATAGGTCTATAATACGTTATGATTATATATATACAACATATATCTTCCTGTCCCTACATATAGTAGTGCTTCTCCCCCCCCCAAAAAAAAAACACATATGATATTTGTATTATTGATCATGTGTCAGGTGATACAGGATACATGGTCTCGCTGAAATGTGTCATCTTTCGCCCTCAAGACACATATTAGTAGCTAGCTGTCTCGAATGTATTTATCAAGATATTTACTGTCTCGCCTCATACCTCACATTGGCTGCACCTATTGTATATATTACCTAAACATATACAAACAATATAGACTCGTAAACCAAGAAATGTAAATTGATCCTTAATGTAAACTTGAATTATATATTGTGACAGGTTTTATTATATTAGTTATTAAAAAGAAGAAGAAGAAAGTGCTTCTAGGATACTTGCTATTTTATGAAAACTTTCAGAGTTAAGATAAAAAAAATAAGATTAAAACTCTACATTAACTAAAGATACAAGAATTGAATAGTCATCCTTTTGAGGTTATTGAAGTGGATTCATAATTACCGTGGCGGGGCTGTGTGTGTGTTGGGGGGTACGGACAGACCTACAATGAGCTGGTCTCAAGGTCTTTCACTGAATTATTTTTATCCACGAATTCACTTTCATCAACACGACAGACATAACTCCGTGTCACCAGAAAGGATTATATAACTTATACCGCCACGTGTTGTGTGTGTCTAGGGGTTATGGTCAGAGTTGAGTCTTAAACAGTGACGGACTCTATTATGAGGTCGGGATAACATTTTGTTAGTGTTATTGCATCATGGAAATTAGTTCATATATAGGAAAATTAACTCTACTTAAGACGTCCTTCATTATCTTAACAAAAGGAAACTTGATCTAAATAAAGCTAGATATGGTTAATACTATTTACAATGTCACAGTTATCACTTACAACATCATATACTACCATTCCACAAGAGCCAGTCCGCTTCGTGTTGGGTGAGCAGTACGGACCCTGAGATGGCGTCGTCCTGCAGTGTACAGATCCCTCGCATGGCATTATTTTCCTGGTAATGTTTGAAAGTGTATTTAGCAGTCGAGGTTTGTGTCCTTCTCTTCACGAGGCCAGCCAGCCAGACTCAAGCTTCTCACGGGTTCCGACGATGAATATCCCTCTTACCGGATGTATATATGAGTTTATATTACTCTTTAAATACACTAAAACACACAAAAAATTGCCTAATTATCGTCAACATTACACTGATATTCTTCCTTGATTAGATACGTGCACTTAACACCTATTAGGGTATAACATTACCTTACAGAATCCTAGGAAAGTCAATATGTTTATCTTATCTTGGTGTTAATTGAACGTATCTAGGCTTAGGTAGAATCACCCTATGATTTAACAACCATTTCTGGGCGTTAGTTCTGTGTAATTCAAGTGTATTTACGTGTAGTTTTATATCTCTACTTACGAGAAATAGTCATCTTACGAACCTTCGGAGATCAAGACCTAATTAGCTAACTATAGTGTATATAATTTTAGCTGTTATAGTCCACACGATTATAGGCATCTTACTTTCAACTCTAATCAAGGTAGAGTAGAATTGACTGTTTGTTTACCGTTTCTAGACACTGTTTCTAGAAGTGTGAATTTGTTAACGTCATTGTTATTTATTTCCTTAACAGTGTGATTAGTACTAGGGGGTAGTTATGTTGTATAATCTTTAGCCTGTGATTGGTCAGGTAGGTGTTTAAGGTCCGTGACGTCAAATTATTGAATCACTAGTAGGTTTTAATTACGAGGTCTTTATATAATTTTGTTGACATGTACAGGTAAATGATTCGTATCTGGGTCTTGTATCGAACTTACCTGTTTCTTGATTGATTCATAATGCATTTAAGAGTTTAGTTACATGACAGGTGAATGTGTCACACCTGTAGGAACATGTGGGCGTGAATTGCCAGTGATATCAACTTTGTCATATTTTAGATTAGTTTTCTCTGTTGTGTGTGTGTGGTGTGTGTGTGTGTGTGTGTGTGTGTGTGTGTGTGTGTGTAGTCTTTAGTCCTCTCTTAGTGTTTTAGTGTGTGTGTGTGTGTGTGTTTTAGTGTGTGTGTGTGTGTGTGTGTGTGTTTTAGTCCTCTTAGTGTGTAGTAGTGTGTGTGTGTGTGTGTGTTAGTCCCTCTGTGTGTGTGTGTGTGTGTGTTTTAGTCCTTTCTTAGTGTGTGTGTGTGTGTGTGTGTGTGTGTGTGTGTGTGTGTTTTAGTCTCTCTTAGTGTGTTTTAGTGTGTGTGTGTGTGTGTTTTAGTCTCCTGTGTGTGTGTGTGTGTGTGTGTGTGTTTAGTCCTCTCTTAGTGTGTGTGTGTGTGTGTTTTAGTCCTCTCTTGTAGTGTGTGTGTGTGTTTGTGTGTGTGTGTGTTTTAGTCCTCTTAGTGTGTGTGTGTGTGTGTGTGTTTTAGTCTCTGTGTGTGTGTGTGTGTGTGTGTTTTAGTCCTCTCTAGTGTGTGTGTGTGTGTGTGTGTGTGTTTTAGTCCTCTAGTGTGTGTATTTAGTCCTCTCTTAGTGTGTGTGTGTGTGTGTGTGTGTGTGTGTGTGTGTGTGTGTGTGTGTGTGTGTGTGTGTGTGTGTGTTTTAGCCTCTCTTAGTGTGTGTGTGTGTGTGTGTTTTAGTCCTCTAGTGTGTGTGTGTGTGTGTGTGTGTGTGTGTGTGTTTTAGTCCTCTCTGTGTGTGTGTGTGTGTTTTAGTCATCTCTTAGTGTGACCATCTTGTTGAACCTACGTCACTCTCCCCCTCCACTGTACTGTATATCTTTATGTTATATAATAAATATATTTGTACGCGTTTATTTAGAAAAAGATTGAATATAAACATAAGACCAAAATACATGTTTTAGAATAACCTTCCCCCCTCTCTCTCTCTCTCATCCCGTTGTTACAGTGAAATATATCTGAACCAGAATTACATTAATGCAGCCTTTCTGTACTAACTTGAATCGTTGTTAATATTACACTGAATTTAAGATAATTAACATGTTATCTTATGTACAGTAATTCATTATTAATCTTGACTACATACTGCCAGGCTTCACTATGGTGTATCCCTGATCGTAAGTGTCTGTCTCTGAGGAAACAGTACATGTGCATTTAACCTTTCTGTTTACACCTGTGAATGTAATAACAAAAGTATACGTATCTTAAAGGATTATATGAGTGGATCAGTGCATGCAGATCTTACCTCCTTGTTTTGATGTGGCTGTAATTAACCTGCACAAGTCTACGTGTTTAACTATTTCGATAAGTAAACATCTAGTTGTGCCTCCTCCTGCCTGCTGTGCGAGGTGCGTCCAACAAGACAGCACCCACCTCGCCCTCCAACTCTCTTCTCCTTCACGGCCTCCTACAGGTGAGTGTTATAGCACCATGTATTGTGTTCTACTGGTATGATGCGTTAATTTCCTCAAGTCTCTGCTAAATGGTACGTAGGTAATTATTCATAGAGTAATTTAAGCATTTATGATAACTGATTGTAAGTTAATAGAATTCATGTCACCTTTTGTTGATTCATAAAAAAAGATACCTGGAAATTAAGATTCTTGAGAGTCTGTCTTCATTGATCCAAGTGAAGGCTAATGCTAGGGTCAGTGGCAGCCAGGAGTGTTGTGTTCTACGCTTCTCTTGGTTATTCGGTAGAGCTAATCTTAATCTCGTTTCTCAAGTGATCTATGTTGTTATGGAGACCTGTAGCTTATGACTGCGGAGAATTAGAAGGTATAAAGTTAACCGAGATTTCCACACCAAGATACGTCCACAGCCTGAGGCAGGAACAGAATTTAGCCTCACCGACGCTTGACTAATGTTCTTTATATGTTCCTCAGGACCTACAGTTATGAGGGGCACAACAGAGGAGGAGATCGCCACTGGCTCAGACGTCGCCATCATCCCTTCCTCCAGGACCAGCCAAGATGCTTGATATCAACACCTTCTGCTACTCTTCTGCTGTAGTGCTTTCATTTACTGCAGTACCTCCTTCTTCTACTGCTGCGACCCTGCACTACCTACAGCATCTACAAGATCTACAACTGTAACCTATGGGAACAGCATCGTCAGTACAACACGAAGACATCTAATTCTTCACAAGACATCCAGTTGTGGCACAGAAGGATGGAACGATATAACTGCACACAGGATTTAGTTATAAAGATCAGTTCTCTAATGCTGTCAGAGTCAGTGTTCTAAGTTTATAATATGAAAGTTCTTCTCTTATTAGTAAATCTGTATACGTTCACCGGTAGCTGGGCACAAGTTAAAGCAACGGCAGCGTCTATTAGTTAGTTATTTAGTTACTCCTTAACAGTGAGACCCTCCCTCCCTCTCACCCTCTCTCCCATAGTCGTGACGAGGCATATGAATCCACTAAGATCCATCACTAATATCGCCTTTACTACCTATAAAACTATACCAAGAGTCGTAAAATTATGGTTCCATAGGTTTAATTAAGTTACACCGTGAAGCAACACACCCGTTTTCTGTGTTGGTTTACCTAAGTTTTAGCATAAGTATAACATTAAACCCAGATTATGATTTAGCTGTATAATGTTTTATACAGATGTTTTAATTACCATATTTTTTCAAGACATATCAACACCGTTTATCAATGTTTACTTTATATATATATAAATATATTGTGTCATATTACAAGATGAACCTGACAATATAATATAACTTCGCTTTATCCAAGGAGATAAAAGAACAAAGGAATAAAAAAAATAGATATTGTTAAACTTACAGTCGGACGAAATTAATCAAATACACGTCTCTTTCGATTTGTTTTTATTTCAATTTTAAACTATTTTTTGTGAAGGTTCTTTGATTAATAAGATATAATGGTATATACCCGTAGAGTCACCAGAACCTTCTGTAGGTTACCTGAGGACTCACCTGTCTTCATCTAAGCTGTTCCCTTAATTATCGGGGGTATTATTTTTACACCTGTCTGGTACAAAATATTAGAATTATCATTGCTATCATTATCATTATTGATTTTGTTAGTAATTGTTTTATTTTATTATTATTATTATTATTATTATTATTATTATTATTATTATTATTATTTTTATTATTATTATTATTATTATTATTATTATTATTATTATTATTATTATTATTTTTATTATTATTATTATTATTATTATTATTATTATTATTATTATTATTATTATTATTATTATTATTATTATTATTATTATTATTATTATATTTGTCTTCATGAACGCTTGACTAAGGCCAGTAACGTACTAGTGTAGGCCGTATAAGGTTGTGTGTTTTATGACTCATTCAGTATATTTTCTTCCTTATAATATCACATTATGTTTAGATGTTTAGGGAGTCAAAAGAAACGGGCTGTACGGCTTCCCATCCACGCCGCCACCCAACAATGATTTACCCCCTTAAGTTATGACAGTTTTATATGATCTTAATGACTGAGTTATGGGAAAAAAATATAAATATAGGAAACTTTGATAATCTGTCCCTTGTATAATGAGACATACATACAGTACAGCCTCGTAGTTATGTTATAGTCTACTGATGTCTTATTGTGGTTAGGAGTCGATTAAGATTATACACACACACACATACACACACACACACACACACACACACACATACACACACACACACACACACCAAAAAAAAAAACAGACAGACGTTACATTAGGCTATTGAATTCTGAAACATTCTTAATCGTGAGGAGAATCGAAGCTTGTAGGACATTTATTCATTCATTTATACTTATGCATGTTATGGAGTTGGAATTAGTAGATCAGTCTGGAAAAGTACATAGAGTTATAGAGTTAGGTCTGATTATTGTAGAGTTAGATTAGAATTATGGTTTTAGGGTTTAATTACAGAGTTCAACCCTATTAGAAGAAACATTCGCTAGTTGAAGATTGGTACAGTAAGTCTGGATTATAGGAAAGATTCGTAAACTAGTAAGGCTTGGAAGCTGTGAATTATTGAAGAGAATAGAAGAGTCGATAGAGATTGGTTTGTGTGGAATGTCAAATCAGGTGGATAAAGCCAGTCGCTAGTCTACAGTGAAGCCAGCCTTAGGCAGTAGCAGCGTCTGGCCCTCGGGGACTGAAGGTAAACAAAAGCCAACACCGTTTTCGGATCAATGGGACTTTCAAGTACACCCATAGTAACGTTCTCGAGCAATATCCGGATTCATATCATCCAAAAACCAATATTCAATCCAGTTTCCAAAGTATTTTTTTTATGATCATACATCCGTGCATTCTCACATGCATTCAAATGGTTTTTTTTAATCAGAATTTAATAGTTAATTCAATTGTCGAAATGATGTTTTAATTAAATTCACATGTGTACATATCCATACATTTTACAATTGATTATTTTTTAAGGATTCGATATTTACTGTTTAAAGGAGTAGACCTATGGGCGTAGTACAAATTATAACACTAAGTGGAATTAGGAGACAGAAGGCTGAATAAAAATATGATTCCAGGCGGGAGTTGATAGCTCATGGGGCGAAACGTTGCTCTGCTTATCAACACACACGTCACTGGACACACTGGAACCACCTATGTGTTTCTCAGTGTGTACAGACTTCATGGCGAACCTTTTATTGTACAGATGGCGTGAAAAATATCTCAAAATAAATTAACATAGAAAGAAGAAATAGTATAAATAGATAAACTGAAAGAAACCCGACTGACGATTCCTTACGCTAAGAAAATTCCACAAGGTTATTGTTTATGTGAGAGAAATGAACTGAAGGACAGCACCAAACATTAATTAGCCTTTAGTGTCTTATAATGCATGTGTTTTACTTACTGTTTACATAATTTTAAGGAGCGTGGATGTGTTCAAGTCACAGCTCCACACATTAAAACATATTCCTTCTTATATGATTACCTTAGTTTGATATATAATCTATAGTTTCTGAAGCTTTATATAGACCTCTTATTCCTAATCAATATATGTAGATGGATGAAGCAGGGGGGGACAACATTGTGTTAGTCTTTCCCAAGTTCTTTGTGTTTTATCTAGTTTAATATTGACTTTGTGTTTTGTACTTAGAGGAACTTACCTGCTGAACCACATCAATGCATCATAAAAAATAGTATACGATATTTTTCTTTCTTTTCAGTTGTATAATGTAGCAACAAATGCGGCATTCTGTTCTTAAAGACTTAGGCTGTTGGGACACTATGAAACACAATAATAACAACAGTATATGCTTAAAGATCTTAGTTGTTGAAGTATAATATTACCTGATAACAACAACACCTTGACTGTCCTCTCCACTCTTAGGTTATATCACTAAGCATCAAGGAAACGTTCAGATATATAGAAACTGTTTAACTGTAAAACAATACAGACACTTCACATGTATTGTAAATGACTGTAAATAATATTAGACCAGCAATTGGTTAAAGGCTGTGAGCGTTTGTAAACTGAATGTGTTTTTACAATTGACTGTTTGAATCTTTGTAAATTATGTGCTAATAGTATAATTGGTAAACAGTTGTGAAAAATTGCAAGGAAACTGTTAATACTTTATGAATAAGAAATGAATAACTATTACAAAATCTCCTACGCTACTTAATCCTGGTGTTAAGTGAAGGTACAGTACAACCTAATTAAGATAATCTCTGTAATTTTGATGTTAATAATACGGCAATTTTGTGTTCAGTAAAGTCAACCAGTTTAGTGCAAGAGGAGTGTTGACTGTATGAACCCTTGAGCATCGGGAGCTTAGATGAGTCAGTTTATAGAGGACGCTTTGTCTCAGTTGTCTAAAAGGTGTTTCAGTATAAATAAACATATCAAGTATAACATAATGATTTCTATTAAATAATTAGATAACTATTTTAAAAAAAGTGACGAATGTGTTCTTGATAACAGTGATTGATGATTCGAAACTGAAAATAAATAGTTGATCCAAAACAGTATAATTATGTGATCAATGGTGTGTTGTGTCGAAAGAATGTTGATTGAAAACGGTTAAACACTCGTTGATTTGTGAGATGAAAATTATTCGTGAGTCGTAAATTCGAAGCAATGATGAAAATTATAGAGACTTGTTGATTTGAAGCAGAGTTAATCTTCACAAAAGACTCGGTGATTCGAAACACCGATGAAAATAACCTTGTATATGAAACTCGATGAATTAGACAAGTGTTAAAATTGATCTCTGTAATAACTTCTGTGTTCGAAACGTTGTCTTAAACATTCTTCAGTTCGTCAACACGTGAATTAGAAACATTATTATATGTTTAAGTATATAACATTTATCTTAATTATCCACTACAGTAAAGGTTGTAATATAAAAACAATATTCATCGTATTAGGTTTAGATTTATATACTTCATATATCAATTACTTGTTATATTGGCTTTTGTGTTGGTGGTAATAAAAGGTTAGTGTATGTACTTTATTTTCCTTTGAATTCCTACACACACACACTCCTACAAGGTTACAAATACCCAGCTTAGTGGGGTAAGGAAGGTTAACTCTGGCACATTATATTTTAAATTTCATATTCTAACTCGTACATTAAAAATTTTCCGCTTTGGAACCTCAGAGACAACAGAAGAATTGAAGAAACACGAAGAGTTTGCCTTCAAAAGAAAACTCTGATTTAGTATAATAGTGTACCATAAAATCGTTTTCATTGGTAAAGGATGATTTGAGGAGGAACTATAATAATTTCCTTTCAGTTCGCCACTGGACCTTGTTACTTGCTATCAACGAAACTCATAAACATTGAGAAGAAGAAATGTGACAATTATCTTTCATGAGTAAAGGGAGAAAATAAAAAATAGTGGTTAAGGAAACATAGAGATAAAACGAAATGAGAGAGAAAAGATAAAAACGCATTGAAATTCATAAATAAATAAACAAAAAAATACGTTTGTTGATGCTCAGTTGTCATCTGCGCGGCACAAACTTATCACTGGTGCCGAGAGTTTGTAATACTTTGTCTAACTCTAACCTAACGTATCATCTACCAAGAGTCAAGTCAAACACTCTGTCTTGATCTCAACCATAAACTCGCTACACAAGATCTCCATATTCATTCTACTTATAAAAAAGGAAAACAGACGAGAGAAAGATGAGGTGTGTATTAATGGACTCCTCCCCCCACCTGACACAGAACTATATCGTCGTTCATGAGAGTGGCAGGTGAGTGAACGCCAAACTTTGTTCTCTGTACAAAGTGACGTATTGAGATGACTACTTTTGTATTGTTTACAGTCGTCTGGCTCTACACATAACAGGGAGATGTACTGTGAGGATGTCAAGAAGTCTATATTTATTACAACCTCACTTACAGTACCTTACCCGTGTTGTCTAATTCCTCACCGAAAGAAAGACAGCCAATATAGGGTTTTTTGTGGAGCCTGTCAGTGTACCATCCATTCTACTACGGACGGTATCTTAGAGGAAATGTTTTAAGTGAATGTGTGAGTGGGTTTCTGTTAACATTTGTGTGTGTGTGTTAGTGTGGATGTATGTGTACGCACCTCTATCATGTCTGGACTGTATGCCTATTT